GGCAAGATACCGAAGGTGAATAGGAACTATATATATATTATTTGTTTTTTACATTTCATTTTTATTTCTTTAAGTCATGCATGTCACAAATGGCCATACTTGCACTGAACTATAAAATCCCAAACTTGTAGAATGTCAGTCGTAAACACTGGAAACTATTACTAAGCACATATCTTTGAACATTTTTCACCACATTTTAGCAGGGTGCATTTGGTTGCAGCCTATGTTTTAAATATAGAAATAGATTTATGATGTAGTGTAAAACGCTTGAACTGGACAAACAACTAGATGCATTAGTTCTAACAACTGTGATGAAGATCACTCTAAACCTCTGAAAAGACAGGATTACAGAACTATATACTGACAGTGTTTAAAATTTTTTTTAAAAGAGATTGATTTTTTTTTATTTTTTAAGCCCAACAATACCAGTAAGCTTAAATGCAGGATTCAGAATGCCATCCTGGTTTGATCTTATGACCCTGGATATTAGTGGCCCTGAAGATGAAGCTGGTATAAAGAAAGCAACAGAAACAGGTATTTTGAAAAGATGTGTTAAAGTTTACTGTTTTTTTTACTTCGTCTGATACGTGTTGTATGTTATTCTGCAGGTAGAAAGTTTTGATTTTATTCTTTAAAACCAATTCACTTTCAGCATTTATATGAGATTTTTCAATAATGGCTATATATTTGTTGACTGACACATAACTAACATGACTTTTATTTTGGCATATGCATATTATTTCTTTACATATCAGTTTTTGTTTTTTGTCATTTTTGTTCAGTGTTTTTTCCCCCTATAAATACCATGCAGGTTTATTCTAAAATATGTTGCAATTTAAGGTATTTAAAGATTATTATACTTGTACGTACCAAACATTCCTGATTGAAACTCTATTCTTAAACACTGATAATTTAATTTTGTTTTATTTGAATCAATGAATTTTTATGAAGAAACATTAGCAGCTTAGTATTAAGTACAATTGAAATAGATAAAAGCTTATGATTATACGTGAAATAAATTGAGAAACAAATAAAAACTATATTTGCAGCCTGATAACATATAGAAGTGATTAATATAGCTGCAACTGCAAAGTGTGACAAAGTGGAAACACCAAACCTGAGCTTTATTAGAAGGTGGATTGACCTTCCTTCCTGTTCCTTTCTCTCTCTATTTTCTTTTTATCAAAAATAAGTCCCTAAAAAAAGAGTCTCATCCCTTGAAAGTGATTGGGTTAAGGTGTATGTATACTGCCTATATTTTAGGTGTTTTTCTATTCACTTTTAATTATGCAAATTACATATTTTCTGTGCTTTTGAACCCAGGATTTACCTGAGATGAGAGATGCATTATGTTATATTGCTCATTTACAATATTCTAGATATTGATGTAACATATTACTATGAATTCAAAGCAAAGAATTCCTATTTTTATTAGCCTGGTATGGCCAGGTGGTTAGGGTGCTCGACTCACAATCTGAGGGCCGCAGGTTCGATTTCCCTGTCCCAACAAACATCCTTGCCCTTCCAGCCATGGGGGCATTATAATGTGATGGCCAATTCCACTATTCATTGATAAAAGAGTAGCCCAAGAGTTGGCGATGGGTGGTGATGACTAGCTGCCTTCCCTCTAGTCTTACACTGCTAAATTAGGGACGGCTAGTGCAGATAGCCTTCACGTAGCTTTGTACGAAATTCAAACCAAACCTATTTTATTTGTTATCAGATA